TCCACATGAATAATTTCTGATGAGCCGTCGAAGGCACAGCTCCGACTCCATGAATCCACTCTCTGCCAAGTAATGCATTGAAATTGGCATGCGACTGGACCACGATAAACACAGTAGGTCTCGAGTAACTGCCTACTTTTACGTCTAAGGCGATCATACCTTCTGAACTTGACGTCTTTCCGCTGAAATCGGAAATCATAATATTGTGCTTGACTAAGTCTTTTAGCTCAATGCCAAATTTCTTTAACATAGTAATTGGCAGTATATTTACTGCTGCTCAACCATCAACAAGGACTCTATTTACCATCTGCCCTTGAATCTCGATATTCAGTAATAATGGCTTCAAGTGGAACCTCATTTCCTCAGATGGGGGATCGATGAAAGCAGCGTCTCTATGAGGAACTTCACATGAGGTTTGTGTTACCCATGTTATTTTTGGCCTTATGTTTTCCGAATAGAAGTCATCTTCTCGCTCGGCATCCCTTTGTTCTTGGTATTCTTGGTATTCGCTAACATATTCTGCAGGTAAGATTGATATTACCCCGATTTGATGTTCATCCCAAGTACCATCATTCTTGTTATCGAAAAATTCTCTTGCATATTGACTTTCTATCGGTACAATATTTTCTTCAAAGTTTCTGTAATTATTCCAGTAAGGGATCCTTCCTCCTCTTTTCCAGGGCCTTCCTCGGAATCTTCTTTGGAATGTTGGGAATCTCGTGATCGATCCATCATCATACGAGAGTCTTTCGAAGACATCATTACTCTGAAATCTGCCTCTTCCTCCTCGAGACGGATACATCTCTCTTCTAATCCACTGCCTCTGATTTTCACTAACACCAGAGCCAACGGATTTCTGCTGACTTTCTTCGATCGTTGGTCAGACCATTTGATCTACTTTGTCATTTTTCCTTTTATTTTGATTCTCGATCTTCTTTATCTGCTCTGTTCTGAAAGCTTTGGCAGTCGATTTATCGAACACTGCACTGCAACGTGGGCATAATGACACATCTTCATCTTTTTCCTTCTTTCTATTCAAAAATTCAATAAGAGAATCTCCTGATCGAGGGTATATTTCCTTTTCGAACTCTTTCTCGAATTCACTCAGGTCAAAGTCCATATCTTCCTCAGATACATCCATCCTGACATGCTTGGGATCGATGTCTTCAGTGACATCTACCATGCCTATAAAGGCCGAATTTGTCAATCGGACATCATCAATAATGCCCGTTTGTGATTCGAGGTATCCTACCTGAGCCTCGAATGGACTCGTGTCAACTTTCATCGTCATTTCTTCGAACCTCAACCTTCTTTGATCGATCGTATCTTGGATTGTGTTCCTGAAATGTATACAATTGTTAGTCCAATGTCCATAAACATTATGAAATTTGCAATATTTTCGACCATTCCTTTGTTCTGCAGACGGCAGTTTATGATCATCGCTCAATTTAATCTGTTTGTCTTTCAATAAAATATCGAAGATTTTGTCTGCTTTTGTCACATCAAAAGTATATGTTCGATTTGCCATTTTATCTTTTACTTCATTTTTCTGTAGCAATTTACAGGTGTATGGAGCCCCTACTTTGAGTTCTGCTATGTTTACTTTCTCATCGATAGCTTCTTCAATATCATTTTCTATCATGTCATCAGTCTCATATACATCATTTATGTATGCTATTCTTTCCTTTTTCAAAGGTTTCTCATATTTTTTATACCTTTGTTTCTTATACTCTATTTGTTCTACTCTTCTCACTTTATCAGCTAATTGAGCCATGTCATTCAATGGTAAATTGACTAATTTTTTCCTAATCGAGAATTCTAAGCCTGCAGAGGCCATTCTGACTAATTCATATTCAGGAATTTGAGTGAAACATCTCGACTTCATTTGTCTAAATCGATTCAAATAATCATCTATGCTTTCATGATTGTATCTTTTTATGTTCATCAAGTCGATGAGACTCACTTGAGTTTCTCCTCTAAAGAATTGCTCATGAAATTTTCTTTCTAATTGTAGCCAATTATATATCGAATTGGGTGGCAATGACGTGAACCAAGTAAAAGCATTCTTAGTCAAAGAACTAGGAAAATATTTCATTTTTAATTCTTCGCTCATCGCTAAATCCCCACATTCGATCTGATATCGAGCCACATGCTCGATAGTCGATTCACCGACTTCTCCAGCAAATTTAGTGAATTTGGGTACTTTGTATCCTCGAGGTAATTCCGTCTCGAGAATTGCATTTGGGAAAGGTGACACAAAGTACGTTGGATTGGGTGGTCTAAATTCCGTCCCTTGTAAATTCATCCTTTGTCCTATCATGTTATTCTGATTATGTATATTTTGAAATCCTTCGTTCAAATTCCCATAAATATCATTCCTCACATGTTGATACTCATTTCCCATATGCTGATGTTGATCATTGTTTCTATTTCTCCTCAATAAATATGGGGGATTAATATTAGTATTATGATTAGCATGATTTTCTATCCTCGTTTGTCGAGGTACAGCCAATGCATCCCCGATTCGTGACATTTGGTCTGCTAGTATCTCAAAACTAGCATTAGTATTTTGCACTAAGGGATTTAAAACTGTGGTTAACTGTTGTGATAACATATTCACCATTTCAAAATTACTCTCATCCATTTGTTGTCTAAGTACTCCTAATGAGTTACTAGATATTCCGGTACCCCTGTTTTCGATAGAATCAAAATTAGATCGATGATAGTCTCTATCGAATACATATCTCCCATGATCTAAGTTTCCCCTATGATCTAGATTTAGAGGTATCTGTTGTGTACCTGCATTCTGCTCATTCCCTGAATTCTGGGGAATTACTAAGTTTTGAGATGTCCCTAAATTTGGAGGGATTCCAAAATTTTGTGGCATACCTAGTGTTTGGGACATTCCTAAGTTATATCTCGAATTCCTATGGGTTGAAGAAGTTCCAGCCCCACTCACATTATTAAGTGAAAACCCGAGCGGTCTTACACTCATATGTGATCCTACATATGTGGTTGTGGGATTTCCCATAGTTTGCATATTATTTGATACCGCAATACTAGATCCTACTTGGGTGTTTGCTAATGTACCTGAATTTTGTTCATTACTCACAGGTATTGACATGCTCACAGTTGTCGATACTACAGGTATGTTCCCATTATGACTTTGCCCCCCAGTATTTGGTGGGTGTAATCCATTTAATCCCTCACTGTTACTCTGGTTACTTGATGAACTCTGACTCATTCTTATAATTCTCCCACTTCTTAATCTCATACACTCTCGAACTAACCAATTGTGTTTCTCAACACAAGTTCGTCCCACTGGGCGTGCCAATTTGTTTCTGGTGGAATTTCGATCGATTTCGATTCTAAACAGTGTTATGATCCTAATCGAAATTCTCCCACGTAAGTTCTTTTTACTTAGGCTAGCAGTCTGACTTTCAATCGAAAACGTGTATGAGGATCAAAAATCACAAGATATTAAGAAAATGCTGTTTTTGGTATTTTGTATTTAAAGTACTGAAAGCAGTAAAGTATCGAATCGAGAAACAGAACATTAAATTGCAAGAAAATATAAAGTGCGAAAACCCCAAATTTGCGTTAATTGTAAATGGCAGTAAATCGAAAACAGCGCAAATGTAAATGACAGAAAATCGAGATTTGCAGAATATTAAATAACATGGAAACTTAAATGCATAAACTTAAATTTTCATTGAATTGAAATGGACAAGGAATCGAAAATACAGAAACATAAAACTGCTGAATTTAAGTTGCATCAAAATAAATTACCAAGGAAAATACAGAAAACGGTAAATGTACTCGGTGAGCATGGAAATCCAGATTGCTAGAAACTTCATGGTGTTCGTCGTTTCTCCGGTAGACTTTTCACTACTGATTCCGTTCTCTGCCAATTTCTGCTCCCCCTTATTTCCTTCCTCCTTTGCTCTATTTATAGGGCATCCTTCAAGCCTTCCAAGAGCAGTTAACCCGACTGCTACCACGTTCTACGTGCGTATGGCAGTTTATCTTCTATAGTTTCCCACGTTCTCACGATCTCCGACTTTTTTCCATGATTTCAAAACTGCTCTTTATACGTGCGTTTTGACTACTTCCTTTCAAGGTTTAGCTGCGGTTACGATATTTATGAAAAACGAGCCTTCCCTTTGATTTCGATTTTATCGAGAACTTTGCGTACCTGGTATCGATTCATTTTAACCTTAACGTCATATACCTCAAATTCTTTGGTTTATTCCATGTTAAGATTTCGACTATTACTCCTACTCTTCCGATTCTACCTTTCGATTTTATGTGTCACGTTCTTCATAATCGGACATCGAAAAAGTTCATTTTCAATTTATTCCTCGATCATATTTCTCGATACTAACACTTATTTATATTTAAGTTAACCAAATCATATCTTTAATTATGTGTATAATATATTATTTACTTGATGCGAAATATGACTCATTTCCTATGTTACTTTTTTGGGAACCAAACAAGTATGAGTTATAAATGAAAAATAATAGAGTGATTGTGAAAATGTTAATAATTAATGAAGGAGAAACCTTGTTTACCAGGACTAAACAAGAAATCTCATATTTTAAGGAATTTTAAACATATTTAAATATTCAATTAGTTATTTGGTTTTGTTTTAAAAAAATGATTAAAAAAAATCTCATACATTAAATATAATTTTTCTTTTTTTCTAATCCTAACATTTTATTTTCTTTAATATTTCTTTCGTTTTCTTATTTATGCGTCAATTTAAGCTTTAGTTTAATGGTTTAAAATAAAACAGATATTTATTCATCAGTAGCCTATTCATATCAGAACCTCCAAGATAAGGCGAGGAAGAATTGCCTACGTGGCACCACAAAACCCAATAATCCTCCTCCACGTGGGACCCATCTCGATTTTCATCACACGTGGCACGTGCAACGCATCCATTTCAAGCTTCAACATTATTTTCGCCACTGTCACGTTCGGCTAAGGGGATCGCCATGGCTGCGGCTTCAACTTCTGCTACGTCTCTCTTCCTTCCTTCTTCGTTCAAACGCAGTGCTCCAACGCCCAACTCCGTCAAGCTCCGTTTTCCGCACCTCAATCGCCGTTTCAACGGCTTCAGGATCGCCGCTTCGTTTTCCGTTTCCAATCCGAACGTTCGAACCGGCCCCGACGATCTCGTTGCCGCCATTCTCTCGAAGGTAGAGTCATTTTTTTGTTCGGATTTGATGGTATGTAATTGGTTTGGTTGTGGGTGAAAGGAACAAGTTATTTGATTCCTTGGTTCTGAAAGTACTAGTTATGAGAATTGATTTTTTAATGTGTCAACTAAGATTACTTTTCTTAGGCGTCGTCAATTTGTGAATGGTTTATCCAGGACCAGTTTAATTTTCTCTCGAATGAAAACAATTTGTGAATAGAATTTTATTGTAATAGAATTTAGGCTTAAACCATGTTTATAGTGAAATTTTGAATAAATCCTTGTTCAATTGCTCATATTGAAGAAACAAATAATCATTTTAATATCTCAAATTTCTAAACACGTGTATACCTTCGAGTCACCATTTTCGTTCACACGGTGTGATTCCTGGAATTAACAATGTATTTTTAGAATTTGAGAGTCAAATTATTTTTCTTTTACTATTTGACAGGGCTTTATTCCCAATTTCGGAAATTAAAAATATAATTAAACTAAATTTTATATTATGGCAAAGACTTTTCGAAAAGGAAAAACAAAATGAAATGAACTTTTAATTATAAGCTAATTTGTGAAAGCTCTTTCATATAATTTCTCTAAATTTTTCTTTTTAACTTGCACATAAGTTAATTTTAGATTCTAAAGATTTTTTTTTTCTATTTTTCAATTCTTATGGAGAAGTTTGTCTAAATAGGCCTTAATTCAATAAAAGTTGTAGTGTCACCATGATAACTCACAATAAAAATTTACATTTATAGTGGGCATTGAATCCTGAGATGAAGTTCCAATTTTGCTAGGAGAAACATTAAAAAGTTCTTGAAAAACTGCAGCTAAGTTTTATGCTATATATCTTAAGGCTCATGTTTTTTGTTTATTATGCTCGTTTTTTAGCAATGATATAGTTTTTTAATTACAAATTACAATACTCATTTTCATTTCAATTCATTTATATTTTTGAATTTGTTTCCAGCACTAAAGATAGAGTTCTGAGATTTTGATCAGGTGGTGCAAACAGATGGAGGAGTTTTACTGAAGAAAGAAGAACATAAAGAAGTGGCTAAAGTGGCTGAGGAACTGCAGAAATACTGCGTGAGTGAGCCTGTGAAATGCCCTTTAATATTTGGAGGTGAATCCTTATTGTGCTTCTCAACTTAAGTTTCTATAAAAAGCCCCTAACAGCCTTTTTATTTGTTTTGTCAAATCTTATTTACCTTTGCAAATAAACTTTAGGGGTGCCTTTGGTTTTTTGTTTTCCAAATAATTCCAGTTGACGTTTTCACTTATAAGTATAAAATACCGTGTTGTTTTCAGTTTGTTTCAAATTCAGTTGTTCACAAGAATTTGCAAAGAAAATGATGAAAAGAATACAATGAAACAAAGTGAAATAAGAAATTAAGTGAATATAATAAGACATTTTAGTGGACACATATGAACTTGAAATGAAAATAGAAAACAAGACAAACAGACCTCGGGCTATGTTTATCTCATTCCATTTCATTTCACACACCATTATACAGTCAAAGATAGCCTTGATTGTTCTGTATTTTTTCTTTATCCTCATTTTAGTGTCGATACATTAGATATCAGTCACCAAAAAAAGCGTCCACTAATCATTGTATATGCACATTTTTTACGACAATATTTAAATCAGCTTTATAATATGATAACCATTCAATTCTTGCTTTATTAATTCTCTCTTGTTTTGGCTATTCAGAGTGGGATGTGGTGTACTGTTCACGGCCAACATCACCTGGAGGTGGTTATCGGAGTGCAATTGGGCGCCTTTTCTTCAACACAAAGCAAATGATTCAGGTTGTTGAAGCTCCTGATATTGTGAGAAACAAGGTCACGCTTTCTGTTTTAGGCTTTCTGGATGCAGAGGTGTCTCTGAAGGGTATGTCATTTAACTATTTAAAGGATGAGTGAAACTTTAACTTGCTGATATCATAATCTGAAAAGCTACTGATCGCAAAACTGAAAGTTCTAAGTTCGGTAAATTCCAAACCCTAAACCAAGGGACTAAACAGTGTCTGCATGATTTTAAGTTGTTTTATCAATAATAAAGCACAAAAGAAAATAAAATAATGACTTTGGGAGTAAATCTCCACATTGGTACTTGAAATTGTGGAAAACTTGTATCTGAAATAAAACTAAGAATAGGAACTCAACAAACTTGACTGAAATGAAACAATTTTATTAATTGCAGTTTTGGCTTAATTATCTAATCAATACAAATTTGCACTTCAACCATAAAAGCAGCCCACTTGGCACAAAATAAAGGCTAGTGGTAATAGAAAAGAGAAAACAATATAGGTTCAAAAACAAATCAATATCCCTACAGACTATGTCTCTCCCGGTAAACCAGGGTGTTATTCAAATCAAAACAGAATATTTGTAGCAAACTCTGAGAAATTGTGTTAGTCACTTTAGTCCCTCAAATTATGAACCTTCGTTTTAATCCTCTTCCATTACAATTTTTTCACTGATATTAAGAACTCAAGTGAATGATGTTGTTTCACAACATTTTACAACTTTAGAAACTTAACTGAATGAGAATTAGTCCTGACACAGTGATAAAATTGTGCGTTGGTGAGATTGGTGATGGATTAGAATCTCGAAATAGCTTTTTTGCATATGCATAAATATGACTATTACAATAATCCTCCCTTTTACCATTTTATACAGAGGAGTCTTCTGGCTCTAACTTATGTTAGTTTTAGAAACTAAAGTGAAAGTTATGTAAAATTAGAAATTGAAGTGAACAATGTTTCGCATTCAAATGATAAAAGTGGAGGTTGACTGAATGACTTGGATTAATGTATTTGTTTGCCTTTTTTTTATCTCCAGTGTGTGATCCACATGCAAAGTTTCATTTTTTTTGTTAAACTTCTGTGTTGATTTGATGCATGCTATGTCGGACAGGACAACTGAAGGCGCTGGATAGTGAATGGATTCAAGTTATATTTGAAGCACCTGAAATAAAGGTAGGATCGTGGAAGGTCCAGTATGGTGGACAGAGTGAAGTTAAACTCAAAATCACTTACGTGGATGACAAAATCAGGTTAGGATTGGGTTCAAGAGGTTCCCTCTTTGTTTTTCAAAGAATATGAAATCGGAATACAATAGAAAAAAATCCATTCCGGGAAATTTCTCTGTATGATAATGAGTGTAAATGAGTAGGAGCTTGAAAAAACCACGTAACTCTTTTGCTGCAGAGTTTGTCTCAAAATGGATTAATGTGTCATAAGGTGCAATGCAGTGTAATTAACTTATTACTGAGAGAGTGGCTCAAACTTATTCCTAAGAGTTAACATGTTTTGATTCCTATATTTGATTTATCATTTTCATTTATGACAATGGCAAAAAAAGAATCTTTTGGGGTGTGCCTTTGCAGCTAATATTTGGGCAAAGGACCAAACTACCTCTGATGCCCAAGGACATTATAATTAAATTTAATTATAATTTTAGGCTCTATGTGGAGGGCAAGGCTATGTGTAATAAAGTTGCATTTTGATAAGTTTGTATAAGGGTAGAAATGCATACAGGCCTCACTAGTTAAACTTCTTACTTCAGTAGTACAAAAAAATGAATATACACAAGAAGATTTTGATAGCTTACATATTGACACCTTTTATAAAACTTGACAAGCATCATAATGAAAAACGTCATACTAACTAGATTAGTCTAAGATGCTTTATCCATTGTGTGCAAATACACATAAAACATGAATTAATATAAAAGAGAAATACAAGATCAAATAAAATTTTATTATCAACATTTAAATACAACCAAAAACAAATCTAGGACAGTCTATACTCAAGAAGATATTGACACGAACTTCAATAGATATTTTATTCTACATCTTATAAAAATCAAGTTTACTCTTTTATACATGAATATATATATATATATATATATATATATATATATATATATATATATTCTAAAATATTTGTTTAGATTATATAAAAGTATGCTTTAGAATTTAAAAAAAAAATTATATTTTTACATATGATTTATTTTTTATTCGGAATACGAAATCTTACCATTTGATTTTTATGGTGTCATGGTGTCTGAGTCGCTCTCTAAATGATGTATGATCCTAGCTACAGCCACATCTTTGATGGAGAAAACAACTTGTGTCCAAAATTTCAATTTCCAAACCTAGTTTTTCACGGACATGTTGGACATACATATTAATGCAATTCATTTAAAAATTGACAACTATGGTTCCACTTCACCTAATTAATAAATGCTGCAAATCCCGTCAATCATAGTTAAACTATGAACTACCTGCAGATTAAAATATATTATGGTAATGTTTATATTAAAAGTTAACCTTTTTATTTTCCCTTGAAAATCAATGTAGTTTTTGTACTTCACACCCTCGATAAAAAGAAAATTTTTCTAATTGTTACAATGGTTTATGTTCTAAAAAAGTATAAGTATAATATTTTTAAACTAAAGAAATATGTGTGTGATGTAAAAATTAAAAAAAAATGACAATGTAATATTTTTTCATCAAAGTGAATTTTTTTAATCTGGGAAAAACGTCATAAAAAGTACAATGAATACTAAACAAATTACAAATATCCTAGTGGTTATAGCCACTAGTACATATCAAAGAAAATGTTTGAGTACAAAAAAAAAACTAAAGTATTGGAATAATTTAAAAAATGTCAAGTCGTGAAGTTTAATTTACTTAGAAAATTATAATAAACTATCAAATAAGTTGTTCATACATCTAAAAATAGTCTATATTGAAATGGAATCTCAAACAAATTTAGTATTTTTACATCTCATGTTTAATGTTTTGATAATAATTTTATTAGTTTCAAATTAACAATATTAACATGGAATCATCGTAATATAATATTCACAACTATCAAAATTAATTTTTATTTTTTTTGGAAATAGTGTGTTGCATGTACTCTAATTTTTCGTACCACTAATAAATTATTAAATTTGAAATAAAAAAATCATAAATATACATAAAATTTATAAATTATAAAATTTTTGAGACAATGACTCTTTACCTTCCAAAAAAATCTACTATTAACTATGAAAGAGACAACAACTATAGTGGTGGCTAAATATTATAACCCATTAGAGAGTACTCAAAATTAGGGTTTTTTTTTGTTTTGTTTAATATAATAATAATAAGAGAAGAGATTAATAAGAATTAAAAATTCAACTTTATCATTATTATTTATTAAATTTTAATATAATAATATAAAATAATAATATTTTAATTATTATATTAAAAATTAATAAAATACTAATTTTTAGTAAAGTAAGTGAAAGAAGAAATACATTAATTTTAAAATTGATTTAATTTGGTTTTATCTTATACTTTAAAATTAATCATTTGATTGTTCAATTTTTGAAAATATATGATTTATTTGTTTTTATGCCTAAAAACAAGTTATTATGATTTTTTTATAAAATTGATTAAATAATTAAATATAATTTTAATTATTTTTATACGTAAATTTAATATTTAGCAAAAAAAATATTATTATAAACAACTAAACTTATATATTTTTCTTTTAAGTTTGAGAACTCATTTAATAATTTTTAAAATATAAGAAGTCAAACAAAATTTCAAAAATACAAAATGACAAAAACGTATTTAACCCATCCATGTAAATTTACTTAAGGACTAATATCCTTTGAAAATATTTTTCTATAAAGGAAAAAATATATTTTAAATTTTTAAATTTTTGTAAAAGTTGTAGTCTTTAAATTAATTAATCAATATTTAATATAGAGCGATCAAAACCAAATTTAAGGGAAAATTATAACAACTAAAAACATATTTAATCTAAAATCATTGATACATATAACGACACATTTTTTTTAATATATTCGGTTGTTTAAAAAAATTATGTAATTGAAGAGTTTTTATAAGTATTTATCTTTTTAAAATGTAATTTTCTTTAGAGTTAGAATAATAGTAAAATTTAGATCGAGCCATAGCAAAAGAAAATTGAAGTTATAAGTAGAGATTTGGGCTTAATAAAATTTTGAATGAGTAAGTCATTTTTATTTTGATAGTTTTGATTTTTGTTAAGTTTAAACGGAAATTTACTTAATAAGATAAATCATGGATACATGGATGTTGTCTAGGTTTTGATGTTGTCTAGGTTTTGAAATTAGAATGTTGATAGCAAGCTACACATATATTTGGAGAAGCAATTAAATTTAATAATATTTATGTAATGGGAGATAGTTATTTAAATAATAATATTCTAGATAGGAAAATAATATATATATATATATATATATATATATATATATTCTTATTTATTATAATTAAAGTAAAAAGACATGATTATGTTGTGTTTGATGTTGTATGATGTTCTTAGTTTATGTATGTGGTATAAATAAGTTGTATTGTTACATATTATGGATAAGAAAGGATTATAAATTAGCAAAAATCTCGTTTCTCTGCTCTATTTTCACTCAAACGAGATCCATATTGTTCGAGCAAGAGTACAGTGGTGAAAGAAGTGGTATAGCGCAACCACGATTCGTTAAAATAATAGTCAAGTCAATCTAATTTTAAATAAAAGTCAAGTTGACTTAAATTTCACTCAAACGAGAGAAAAGAGAATTGATACTGATAAATTTTCGCTTAAATGAAATGTTTTAGGTGTTTTTTGTCTAAACTTCTAAAAATTATAAAAATGGCTCCATACTTCAAATTTAAGGTTCCATATATTTAAATTGATACCTTAAAAATAAGTAATATAATGAAATAAGAGTTAGTAAAAAAATACAAAGAAGTTATGGCTAAAACAATAAACATAAGTCAAATTAAAAAAAAAATACATAATTAAAATATTTAGTGAGAACAAACCTAATTTAGTACAAATGACAAGTTGATAAGAAAATGACATATGTGATACATTATAAGATAATATGATTTTGTTGAGTCTTTTTGAGAAAAAAAATATCTCTAATGAGGTTTAGTCAAGTTAGGAGAATAACTCATAATTGACTAAGATCTATATATGTAAACCTAAGTCGAGTAAAAGATCTGATCAATAATGGATTAAAAATGTGTGTGATTATGGGTACCTATGTAGTTATTATGTTTGTGTGAATTCAATTGGATCCCAAGTTCCACAAATAACCCCAAATAAGAGGATTATTAACTGGTTTGCATTGAGATCATAAGAAAGATACACGAGAATAAATAGTATTATCAGTACTCCTACATTATAGATAAGAAAATCAAAATGATACTAATAGTAAAAAAGTATTTAGTACTAAAACCATGACTCACATTTAATGTCTATAATATGAGAAGAGAAAATATAACTGTGTAATATATATATATATATATATATATATATATATATATATATATTTAATAAATAATCATTATTTAAATAATTAATTTATTCTTATTTGAATCACTAAGTGTTATAATCATATTATTATACATATAAAAAATACATCTTAAAAGTAGGACTAGATTAAAATATAATTATAATAAAAAATTTATACGTATATTCATTTATATTTTATAAAATAATCTCATTCTAATAAAAATTATTTTTATATTTAATATGATATTCTCTTCGTCTTGATCAATCCTCTACTTTTCAAATATATATTATGATAGATGGATTGTGGCACTATATACACTGTAACAAAAGTCTATTAAGTGCAAGACAAATTTACTTTTGAATCTTAAATATGATTGTAGGAATATGGTGTTGACATATAAATGGTAAACGAAATGGTGTTGTACTTTTGAAACATCCTAATGCTATCTTGATAGGCCATATAAGTGGTCACTTAGAAGATATCACAATGAAGGAGAGAAAATGGTGGAAGAGGGCATACATGTTACATTTCTTCTTATAGTCATTATTTTATCTAATAGAACAAAGTCAATGAAGACAAACAAACATTATCTTCAAACTAAAACTAGTTATCAATGGTGGTGGGTTAATTGGTCCCATCATGTGGCACTAATTAAGACACTTCAAAAAACTGTTCTCAATTTTAATCAAATTAATATAAAATAAATATACTTGTTTTGAAGACATGGAATCAAGAGATTTACTTAATTTTTTTAAAATATATATAATGGCCTAAAATGCCTGTTCAAATAATTGTTGCCGTGAAATATGTTAGGCTATTTTGGAAGAATAATTTTAACCTTTTGGAATATGATATAAATTATTCACATTATTTTTTATTTTATAATATTTTTATTTGAATAAATTAATCTAAATTAATTGTAATTTCCATACATAATAAACTTTTTATCACATATATTAGTTAATTTTGCAATATTAAACAATTGTATACTATCAACATCATATTATATTTATTAATTCAAAACAATATAAATCTTAAAAAAAATTGAAAAAAAGAATTAAAAATGTGAATATTAATTAATTTTATGATTATACGTAAAGTTGGGAGGAAAGTGATAATAAAGAAAAAAATATTAGAAATAGTAAGATTTTTAATTCAATCTTATAAAGTGAATTTTTTTTAATTATATCTCATAAAAAGTATTAAAACTTTAGGCTTTGGGTCATCTTAAATTATAAGAAATTAAAATACTTACAAAAATCACTTTATTAACCTGAATCAAATTGTTCAGTAATCAATTAATATTCTATGTAAGAATTGTATGTGATATTAGTATTATTATGATTTTGCAATCATGACTTCATAATTGTTAATTATTTCTAGGTGATATTTTTCCCATGAAAAGTGAATCATTTGATTGATGCTTTTATTAATTTCAGTTCCATTTGAATTTTTTTCCTCACAGTACGAATTTTTTATCTTCTATTTTTCTTAATAAGATTATATATATATATATATATATATATATATATATATATATATATATATTTAAAAAAAAGTTTATAGATTATATCAATTTTACTTCTTTTAAATCAATGGCATATATTTATTATTGATTTAAGCACATGAGTATCTTCAGAAGTATATTTATTTGTAATTAAGTTTGAACTATCTACTTACTTATCAATTTATTTATAATTTGTTTGTCAATAAAATTTTTAAATTTATTTATAACTTTTTTTTTCAAAAACATTTTCTATCCTTTTATTTAATTAGAATGACATTAAAAAATTATATTCTATAAATAAGTTTATTTTTTCAAAATTTGAAAATGTGTATGAACAAATTAAAAGAAAACTAACATTTACATATTATAAGTACGTATTATTAAAATATAATAAAACTACATTTCAACATCATGTAATGTTTTAGATTATTGAATTTTCTTATATGAATTTTCAAATGATCCAAAAGGGGTTACAATTTTTTTGTTAGGTTGTTATTGACTTAGTGGTCGAGTCAGTACAATTTAAGGAATACGATGTCTATCAAACTATTAGTCAATAATATTTGTGAAAATTTACAATAAATCTTTTTATATATTTAAATATTTTTTTAATAGTAATTTTTCATCTATAATTTTAAATATCCAATTTATCTTTCAATCACTTTTTTATTTTGAATTTGGATTCTGGAACAAAATCATATGTGATTTTTAATTTAGCTAAGAATACATATTAAAATCGGAATTTCTTACGTGGAACTGAAAAATAACAACTATGTACGTATTAAAATAGATTAAAAATAATTAAAAAGAAAACCATGAATGAACGCGTGCGTTAATATATAAGGTTTGAATTTTTTAGTCTAAAAAGGTGAACTCTAATAATAAAAAAGGCAAAATTATAGAAATTATTATTATTATTATTATACAAATAACATATTGAATAAATTATTTTATTTGAACAAATTATTTCAACTATATACCGAATGATCTATCATTCATGTTTTCGAAAGATATAATTTTTTTATTGATTTTTGAAAGAATTTAAATGATATTTAAGTTTATTGAAGTCATATTTTAACTAAATTTATACATCTGAATTAAATTTATATAATACAAGTATTTGTATCTATATATATATATATATATATAAAGGGGAGAAAAGTTAAATGTTGAATATAAATACATGCAAAGAGTACCGAATAGAATAGTATTGGAGGAGGAGGAGGAGGTGAATGAGACATGACAAGTTGAAGTTGCACGACAACGATTGGCCGAGAAAGAGCTTAAGACACAAACACCCACGTTGTGTTATGTTTTCGTCTTAGTTTAAGTAAATGAATTAACACTAAAAATAAAATTAAACAATCCAAATGATGAATGAATGAATAATTAATTATTACCATTATTTAACAGCACCGGAATCAACGCTCTCCACCTGGCTTCACAAATCTGAATGAACCCGTAACCAATCCCCTCTTTTCTTTCCTCTCCGCACTCTGTCTGTGTCTCCCTCCTTGTTTGTTCCTCCACACTCCCATCCTTCTTCTTTTTCTTCTTTGCCCTCTCATTTTCATTTTTCTTCGTTTTGCTTCCTTCGAACTTTTTAGATCCCTCTCTGGATCACAGGTATTCATTCCTTAGTTCACATTTTCTCTCTTCTTTCCAATGTTATTTGAATCGGTCAATTTAAGATCTGAAATCTTGAGTCTTCTCTCTCATTAAACTTGAGAGAGCCTTTTTTAACTTTCATTTTCTTTTGTGTTTGGCCAGAATTATTTTTGTTAGGGTTCATACTTCTTAAAGCGGCGCTCTTGTGCTCTGCTCGTGGATCTTGTAGTTTTGTGTTTAGTTTTGGTAATGATTATGTTTTAATGAAGTGTTTGTGTCTTAATTAGGTAGGGGATAAGATCTGGGTTGTGTATTATTTTTGGTTAATTGTGAAAGGAGAATGAAAGGAAATTTGAAATGTTGATTGGTTTACACTTGTGTTTTTGGTGTTTGAAAAGAAGAGTTTTTTTGTGTGTTTTTGGTCATTGGCAGTGAGAAAGCGTTGTTGAGTTTGAATAGATGAAGGAATGTTGATGGATGGTGGATGCATGGGGAAGCTGGTGAGGCACCTTGAACTTAGATGAAGAAGGAACGTGCATGGCCGCAATTTATAAGGAATCTTTTGATCATGGTTGGATCAAGAAGCCGGCCACAGTTGAGGAGGCCTACATGGATTATTGTTCTGGTTTCCATCGTGTGTGTGTTTCTCATTGCTGCCTACGTGTATCCGCCGCGGAGCCCCTCCTCCTGCTCCCTCTTCTCCTCCAGTGGTTGTGGTGGCAATTCTTTCGATCTACCACCTGCGGCTCGATCACGCGAATTGACTGATGCGGAGGTTGAGTCTCGTGTTGTTATTAGCGAGATTCTCAACTATTATCCAGTGATAACCAAGAAACCTAAAGTCGCTTTTTTGTTTTTGACTCCGGGTTCCTTGCCTTTCGAGAAGCTCTGGCACATGTTCTTTCAGGTTTGGAATTCCTCCTCCTAAGACCATGAACTTTGCTCTTGCGCCTTTTTTTTATGTTTGGTATTGATGCTATGTTTAGCAACCTTTTCAATATCTCTTGTTTTGTTTGTCGTTTTATCCTCTAACTTGCATGTTTGAGTTCTTCACATCAGTCTTCTGTCGATATAGCCAGAGTAGTATTTTAGTAAGCATTAGTTTGAGAATAGGACCATAAGAGATCTGCACTAACAGAAGAATATTATAGTTCCGGTTCTGTCTTTCTATCGCTATATTCTATTTCAATATATAAATACAAATGAGACGAGCACCTTCTACAGTAAGAGGAGATGTGATGGTGGGAAAGACTGGTTTGCTTAGTGCAAAATAGACAATTCACGATCCCCAATCTGCTGACTGGTTGATGTTGAGCAGATAATCTGCTGGCAATTTGTATTCAAGTTGTCGAGATGAATGATGGATATAATATAGATGTATTTTCTATTATCCACCGGTGGAAATGCATTTGGATTACAATGCCAAAATATGAAGGAATGAACAATTTCCGGTGGAAATGCATTTTGATTTAAGTTCACATTCTTATAAAACTAGACAAGAAAGTAGGTATTAACAAAAAAATAAGTTATTGAGTAATCTCCTATGATACTAGATCACTTGATTCCTTGGGTATATTTCTCCCATTGTAGACCTTCGTAATCTGGTGTTGTTGTTAACAGTACCCTTACATTTTCCTCAAGGTAACTGGTTACAAACTACTAACTCTTGAGAGGAGCGTACAGTCCTGTAGCTCAAGACGATTGATTCACACTGCATTTTTTGCCAGTAGGAGTAGGTTCTCTAGGAATGGTCGAACTGGAACAACCATATAACTCCCTCATACATGGTATAAAGGCCAAGCTATATTTCAACTATTGGGTAATTACCATGAACTTCTAAAATAACTTCCAATGGGTTTCCATTGCATCAATATTAGAAAGTATATTTATTTCTAACTCAATCTTACAAAACCGACTTTCAAGGTAAGATTTTCATCCACTTATATATTATGATTTGGTCATATTTTTAGTTGGTGTGAGATCTCCAACATACTTCTCATCCCAAGGACTAGACATCTCGAGAGTGTGGTACTAGATATTTGTGGGTTGTCTAATAGCAGTCTAATAATAGGTGACACAATAGGCCTTGCAAACCTTGTTAGGATAAGCTTTGGTACCACTTGTTGGACTTGTGAATAAACTCTACACTCATGGAGTAGAGGCTGAATGCCATGTTGTACCCATGTCAACCTAGATTGGGCAGGATTTCCACACGATAGAACATTCTTGACAAGATATTGTGTTTTTCTTGGGGAAATCTTCATCTCATGGAGTGTTGTGGTTGAATACCATGTATTATCCATAACATGTGAATTGACATGGCTTTAACAATTACTTTAGCTATTAAAGTTATATTGAACCAAATAAGTTTATGTTAGAGACCACACAGATTGATTCTCACTTCATTTGGGCAAAAAAGTTTCTTGCAGGAAAAATTAAAAACTGACTTTTGTCAATCAATGATCAGCTCTCTAAAGTCAAATCCCAGAGGGTTCTTGATTGAATATATATTGTGCATTTGATTTCTATGCTCTGGCTAGAGGGGTTGTCAGCACATGCCTAAATTAGTTTTAACAAGCATCCATATTAAGATATGATTAACATTTATATTATATTCTATTATAGCATCACAATCTTGTGAATATAAACCTAACAGTTCGTGTTCAGCATTAGACACACTTACCAAACCCAATAGTATTGAATCTGTGAAGTAAATTTCGGGAGCTTGGCCTTAGGTTAGAGTAGCAGCCTCTAGTATCTGAGTTTCTATTTCATTTTCCATATACTTTTTCTATTTATACCTTTTGCTATCACAATAGAAATTTGAGCTTTGTTCTATACATAGGCCAGAATACCAGGATCTATTTGTGGCATGCTTTTCTCTTTTTAGTAAAATATCATTGCCAGTGCTTGCCATTCTGGAATCTGGATATAAGTATCAGTTCAATTCCTTTTGCTTTGCATGTTGTAGAGATATACTGATTCCATTATATTTGAATTGTACTCATTACCAAATGCAGGGCCATGAGGGAAAATTCACTATTTATGTACATGCATCAAAGGATAAGCCAATACATGTTAGCCCCTATTTTGTTGGCCGAGACATTCACAGTGAACCGGTATGGTGTATACCACATGATTGAATATATAATTTACAAGCACTTTATATGATAGTTCAAAGTTCCAATTCCAACATAAATGTGGACACTATACACAATTCGATGTATACTTTAATAAAAAATGTTAAACAATTGATTGGAGGATATTATCACACAAATTTTGCACTCTTTATTTTGTTACTTTCTGTTTTCATATGATCAAATTTACTCTCTGTTTTTTCTTTTAGCTGTAAAAAAGCTGCCCTTTTGTCTCTCAACTAATCAGTGAGAACTAGCATGCAAATGTGGACTTTTATTGCTATGATTATCTGGTGCTTAACATGCACCCAATTTTCATAAGGTCATGCCATTTGTTTCTTTATGCCAATGTGTTTTCAATTTCTTGCAGGTAGGCTGGGGAAAAATTTCTATGGTTGAGGCAGAAAGGAGACTTTTGGCAAATGCACTTTTGGACCCTGATAACCAACACTTTGTCTTGTTGTCTGAAAGGTCTTTTGTTATCTAGTTATTTTTTTCTGCAAGTCATAATTTGTGGGATTTAATCTAATCAACTGCACATTCATTTTTGCTTCAGTTGTATACCAGTGCGTCGCTTTGATTTTGTGTACAACTACTTATTATTAACAAATGTCAGCTTTATTGACAGGTAAGAAAATACATAAGAACTTTCTACAATTTAATTGATGAAATTCTAACTTTTTCCTTTCAGTAAAGAATCTACACTACAGAATTTCTGGATGGTAATTTGGACTAATCTGTCTCTATTTTCCTTTTCACCTTTTCGATAAAGCTATGTGGATCCTGGTCCTCATGGAAATGGCAGGTATATACAATATATGTTGCCTGAAGTAGAAAAGAAGGATTTCCGAAAGGGTTCACAGGTATAATTTTTATGAATGTTGATATATACTTTACTAAAAAATTTGAGCATCCATTTAATTGTGGTGTTTCATTGATGTCATCTTCCCTTTACTATTCTAGACTTATAGGGACTTGGGTATTATTGGGTGTCTAAGTCTTACATTGAGTATTATAAGATGCTCGATAAAGTGTTTGGTTCTCCTCCTTACCAACTAGCATTTTGGGTTGAGTTGCTTATCAATAAATAGTATCAGAGCTCGTTATTTGTGTCTTGGAAAGGGCTACTAAGGTGAAGTGCATGCTTGGTTTTGCATTGGGTTCAGTCAAACTCGGATGCATGATCCATATCCAAGCTGATACTACTTTGAATATTATCAATTTTACGAATCCAAAATGTGGGCCCGATGCTCCAAAAACCAAACCAAACATGCACAACGGGTTTTGACTAATGAGGAAGTTGATTGAAGTATGGTAGTTATGAGCTATCAAGGGCAGTGTTTTTGATAGGAATTTGGGTATTATAGGGTGTCTAAGTGCAATATTGAGTAGTAGGCATGTGATACTGAGTGGAGTGCTTAAGTGTTTGGTTCTTCCACTTTAATATTTAGCTTTTAAGGGTGCGTTCCTTAAGTGCTTGGGTGCTTATAACTTCACTTAGCATTGCATGACTAATCTGGTTAGAAAGTAGTTTTGTTTGCCTACTTTCATCACGTGTTTCTCCCCTTGGTGTTCATTATACACCCTACTTTGTATCCATATCTACAGATTGTAGCAATAATGGAAACATCGTTGAATTCATTTATAAAGTACTTTTTTCCTCTTTATAATAAGAGCAATGTCTTGAGGAATTCATTTACATCCTATTTTGCTGTCCTTTCCTTTATCAGGCAATCGTTCATTACATGCACTATGAAAGCAAGAAAAAGAATAATCTTATTTCTTTCACTATTTCATTAATTCTAAAATATATTACCTAAGAGTTTTTGTTGGACGATATAACTGTCTTCCAGTCATTTTAAGTTGTCAAACATCATACTTAGTTTGTGAAACTTAATACCTGGCTGAAGTTTTTTATTTCAGAGTGCACTTTTTTTTGTTATTTATGTGTCCTCTAAAATGCATATCCATTCATAATAGTTGAAATTTGCATTATAAATGGATTTTATATTACAAATTTATAATTGTAGGAAACCATTAAAACTTTTCTAGCATGCAGCTGATTTGGATCTTGTGGTTTCTCATGCAGTGGTTCTCAATGAAACGGCAGCACGCAATAATAATTATGGCAGACAGTCTCTATTTTACAAAATTCAAGCATCATTGCAGGGTACTATGTTGTTAAGAACCTCTTGTGTTTATATGTTTGCTAACTGGATGGATTGTTTGATCCATTCTGTATTATTCCTATGATCCTATTGCCTTTGTTATTGTAGGTAAATGTATTAATGATTTCTGAATGATAGCCCACTGTTATTTTCAATTTTTTTGTCCCTCGATTAGCATTTTAGTGCATTAAGTTTGCTGGAAGATTATAAAGAATAATTATTGGTAGCCTATTAATATCTAATATCAAGCTATAAACTAGACTGGTTTATCATTCTGTGCCTTTTTTTTTGTTATTTTTTATAGTTTATCTTCATATATGTAAATATATTTTTTTGTTTTCTATTAAGAAATGCCATATGTTATATTGATAATTTTTTATTCAGATATGTTGTTAGTAGAGTGCTTGCTGCAGCATGTATTATTGGTTTTATAAAACTAAATGCTTCTCTTGATAAATGTATTTTTTTATTCATGCTAAGCAAAGTCACTATTTTGCATTTGTAGCTTCACTGACAAAATACTGTTCATGTTTTAAACTTCCCAGCCAAATATGGAGGGAAACCGCAACTGTTATGCTGATGAGCATTACCTGCCAACGTTCTTTAATGTGAGTAAGCCAATCTGTTCTCTTTTGTATTGCAATGATAGGTATCTGTCTCTTCTCCCAGTTAACTAGTGTAGTTTGTATTTAGATGCTTGATCCTGGTGGAATCGCAAATTGGTCAGTAACATATGTTGATTGGTCTGAAGGAAAATGGCATCCGAGGTCATTCAGAGCTCGGGATATTACTTATCAAGTCATGAAAAACATAGCAGTATGTGACAATTTTACTCATTGCCTTCAGATGTGTTTGCTTTATTCATTTGAATCTTCAAACATAATTTTGCTTTCCATTTTTATTTATTTATTTATTTTTAATGTTCCCATGAGTGGCATGGTGTTAATGAACTGAACAAAACGTAGGTGCAGTTATGGATAACAGAGAAGGAAAATGAAATAAAAAATTTACTCAAGTGAATTCCTTGTTCCAGAATTTCACTTGTGTTTAATAGTAGGTTGTATTTAATCATATGATTGAGTCAACTTAATTTTATAGGAGACTTGTGGAAAAAGAGTGACTGGGCTGATAGTTTTCGTTATAGGGGTGTCTGAGGATTTGGCGTGTATTGGGCGTTTCAGTTGATCTTAATGAACTACCTTTTCATTCCCCTCACGATCCTTTTCCTTATATTTTTATTTGCACACCTAGTTACTTCCATGTTTTTTGTTACTTGGCATGGTTCTAAATCAGCATTTATCTTGAATTCTACTTAATGACATGACTTCATTCACTGCAGTACATTGACGAAAGTCCACATTTTACAAGTGATGCAAAGGTATAAATCTCATTCATCTAGCTTAGGTTCATAGCTCGTTCATGTAGTCTCACATTTCTTCTACTTCTGTTGAAGGAATGAATTATTATATAATTTTCAATTTTACGCGTCTTGCAGAGAACGGTGGTGGTTACACCTTGCGTGTTGAACGGCGCAAAACGATCATGTTATCTATTTGCCCGGAAGTTTTTCCCAGAAACTCAGGAAAGATTAATCCAACTCTACTCTAATTCTACAATATTCTAAAGTATTTATATTTATCTTCATTCTTTGGTGAATCAACACCATATGATCCCCAGCCTCACCGTCTTGCACATATCGAATTGTTTTGAGAAATGTCCCAAGACAACTGGAAAATACAAAGAAGCTAATTCAGTTAAAATTTGCTTGTCTCTGGGGCTTGACGGAACTGCGGAGCTTGTCTGGGTGGATAATTTGCTGTTCCTATTGTACTTCTTTCTAAGTTTTCAAAACATCATAGATTTCCCTTAAGGATGAAAGTTTTGGTATCCTTGATAGAGACTAGAGAGGAGGGATAAGGTTTGGTTTTGATTTGGACTCTTGAAGCTAACTGTCACCTATGACTGTTATTGCATCGTGCAGTCATGCGTTAAATGTTACTTGATGAATGGTTTAGCAGTTTTGAGCTTAATTTTGGGAAGAATTCTCTGTATTGTTTTAGAAATTGACATTTTTTTTTCTTAAAATTTAGTTTGAAAGTTAGTATTTGATTATTTTAATTCATGTGTGGATGAGTTTGGTGTGAAAGCAAATGGAGATGAATTTCTCACGTCAAACGTCGATGAGTGTGTTTAAAATTGCATTGCTATGCACATTCTCCATATAATATAATAAAGAAAACAGGATTCCGTAACCTTTTCTCATTAACATTGCCAATATCTTGAGTTATAACTTACTGCCAGACATCTAAAGGACATGTACGAAATTTAGGCTTGTAGGAAAATGGATTAATTTATTTCTATAAGCCTCTATAAAAAGTGAGTTTTATTTGTTAGAAAAGCTAAAGCTGGACTTCTATTTGTTATGGGTAAAACAAACCTTACTGCATGTTTTGAGTCCTACCATTTTCAGTTTGTTTGGTTTAATGTATTTGTTATTTCTATTAGTAAGGAATGGTTTAAGAGGAATTCTAATGATCATTTCAATTTGGTTAAGTGTATTTGACAACTATTGGCAGAGATAGTTTTAATGTGAAAATATGATGAGTAAAAGTAATTCAACGATAGCGTCTCAAATGAGTTGGGTTAATTTTTATCTTAAAAAAAAACATACACAATATATTTATCGTATTATATTATATTTAAACATTTCATAATTAACTTTGTTTTAACAATTTAAAAAAATATTTTTTTCATATTTTTTTATGATTTGTTGAATTATCTTGTAAAGCAAAAAAATTAAATAATTTAGTGTCAAAGATTCCTTCAATTAAAGGAATTAGTGTTTTACTATTAGGTATACTTTAATATTACTTTTGCCTTTTTAAAATATGATTATATTTTAAAAAGGGTAAAATATGATTAATAATTTATTTAATAATAGTTTTTAATGTAAATAAATATAAATAATATTCCATTCTTATTACATTATCATAAATAGATTTATTTGATGTGAGAGATAAAATAAATATTTTAAAATTATATTAATTTTACATATTTGGTTTAAAGGTTTTAGACGAGCATTATATAATATTTTCAAGTAATCATTTTCCAACATGTTTTTTGTTTTTTCAAAGTCATTTTTAATTTGTTTTTTCAATATTTTTTCATAAATAAAACATTGGAGCAACTGGTGATTTTGACCGTGAGATCATGTCCAATACAATTGACCTGGGTTAAATATGTTTTAATTCAAACACTTTATTTTTCAATTTTTTTAACTTCAACCATATTAATATAGAGGGTTGATATATTACCAGTCCAATATATATATAAAAAAAACAATTTTTCATTAATCTAAGACATTGTTTATATCTTCTTCATCTCTATTTTAAAATGGGTAATGATAGGTTTATATATATATATATATATATAAAACCTATGTTTGTTAGTGTTTGCATTCTTAGACTTTAAATTAGTTTTTATTAATTAGTTAAAAAGAATAAAATATAGGTATAAAGTTAAGATTTCAAACGTGTTGAATTTCATATTAGATAAAAAATAAAAAAATTGAGTAATTTATAAAAAAATAAACATATAACTTAATACTTAAAAAGTGGAAAAGTTGGATAACAAATTAATATCTAAAGTTTTTTTTTTCCTATCGTGATGTTTTATTCTCTATCACTTGTATAATCTTTTTATGTTAGCCTACCTGATATTAGAGTTAATACTTAATACAATGATAATTTACGCTATAAACCATTCAATCCATGGAATAAAATTAGAACAATATATAGTATTTTAAAATATATTACGACCTATTTTATTATTATTATTATTATTATTATTATTATTATTATTATTATTATTATTATTATTATAATAAAAAGTTACATTATTCATATTTTTTTGTGTCCAAATATTTTAACTCCACATTATTATTATTACTCACATTTTTTTTATCAGTATACTGTCAAAATCATAAACCCTTATACTTCCTCTTAATGGAATTGGATTCCAATTTAACTTCTTACAATATTTTTTGCTAAATTTTTGTTTATGTTGGGAAAATAAATATTAAAATTATTCAGTTATGATAGTCATTTTAGTGATTTTATCACTTTTCTCTTTTAATAAATATATGTAAACTTTTTAATTAAAGTAATAAGAGAAAAATCTATTTTTAGATTTCGTGTTTTTTCTCTCTCTATTTTATCTTTTATGTCATTCAATTTTGATGTTCGATTTTCTATTAAAATATACTCTTCGATTTCTAGTCTTCCTTCATGTTCGATATCACATCGACACATACTCGATAACTTTATTGGATTTTTTTTTCATATTCGATATCACATCGATACATGTTCGATAGTATTATTGAGTTTCATTTTATGCTTGATATCACATCGATACATGCTCGATAACTTTTCTTTCATGCTCGATACAACATCAACATGCAAGACTGATGCCATACGCTTGATACCCATTCAGTTAGATAATCAATGCACATCCAATAATTTGTTTTGTGCTCAACAGAACATCGATAGACAGACTCAATATGGAACACTCAATAATCACTCACTTTTCAATTATGGTATCAGAACTTTTCAAACTTTGACTATCTTTTCTTCAATTCTTTCTTTTCTTGTTTTCATCTTGGATATCATGAAAAAAATTAATAGACTCATCACCTACTACAAGTGTAGATTCTCTACCTCTTATGAAAACAAATTCTTCATCTTTTACAAACAACTTTTGTATATTCATCCAAATAAAAATCCTATGATAAACTTTGTCTCTCCGGTTGTTGATACAAGTAACTATCATTCTTGGCGAATCCAAATGAAAGCATATATATGCTCACTGCATTAGGTACAAAGAACAAAATCAAATTTGTAAATGGTTCAACACTAGAAAAAGATGACTCATTCTACATAGTTTGGTGACGTGGTAACTACATGGTAGTTTCCTGGATACTGCATTTTATTTCCTTGACCATATGTCAAAGTATATTATGGATGAACAAAATGGAACTATCTAAGATCTTGATATTTTCAAGGTAATCTTTTTCGCATTTCTGATCTCCAGTTAGAAACATCTTCCATTAAACAAGGTGATATTTCTGTTGGTATTGCGCAACGGAATATTTGCGTTTGGGATAAATACCAAGAGGAGGTGAATTGGTTTCTTATAAAAAACTTTCCCTTTTTTTTTTGCAAATATTACCGATTAAATGATAATATAATAAAACACTTGAAATGTAAAGAGATAAAGAAAGAAGATTACACAAATAATTTATACTGGTTCGGATGAAAAGACCCTACGTCCAGTTGTTAATCACTCTAAAAGAGAATTAACCCAGTCACTTAAACAATAGTTCAAACAGATTACAAATTACAAGTAATAAGGATTAAAAACACCTCTCTTGAGTCACACAAGAGATGAACACCTCTTTTGAATCCACAAAGGATGAAGAGAGTTTTTCCTAGAGACGACACAACACACAATTCACCAAGAAACCCACTTAGTGATTCTTATCGCTTCTAGCCCACACTAGGTTACAAAAGCCCATTTTTCTTCCCTACTCAAGGTTCTCATAACAATCACAACTATAAACTTTAGTATGAAAAAAGTTGTTTATTACAGAGAGTTTGAGAGTTCCTTAAATAGAGATTTTAGGGTTTTGAAATTAGGGTTTTCGAAAATAGGTTTGAAATTTGAAATTCAAAATCATAACTGACATAAATAATTGATTATCATAAGTGATAATCGATTATCACAGAGTTATTTTCGCAGAAGACAAAATTTGTTAGGATAATCGATTATCCACAAAGATAATCGATTATTCCAGAGACTTTCAGAACCCTGGTTTAACTTGGATAATTGATTATCATAAGTGATAATCGATTATTGATAATCGATTGTTGATAATCTATTATCCCAGGTGAAAATCGATTATCACAGAGAGTTTTAGTTAAAAATGAACTTTCAGTTGACAGGCTATGTGCTGACTATCTTGAACTCTATTTTTACAAATTCAAAAATGATAAAACAGAATTATTACAAACAGATACAACTGTATATGAGTCTTCTAATCTTGAAGTCCTTTGTCTCTAAATCATCATCAAAATCTTCAGGCACCACACCCTTGTGTTTTCAACAATTTCCATTATTGAATTCTTTACAAAACTTAGAATCATTTGGGATGAGCTTGAAAATTTAAACCCGAACCTACTTGTACGTGTTTAGAAAAGTGTTTTTGTGTTGTTCTTCCTATCATAGAACAACACAAAAGAGAAGATCAAGTCATGTCGTTCTTGAGAGGTTAAATAAACAATACAATAATGTCAAGTCCCATGTTTTTCTTGTGGATCCAATACCTTCTTTATCGAAAATATTCTCATATGTAGTTTAGTAGGAAAGACAAAATTTTTTTTGAAGAAATACAAGGAATCTTGATCCTAAAGTTAATGTTGCCATATCTAACAATTCTACTTCTTGCAAATTTTGTGGACAAGTTGGTCACATCGAAAATGTATGTTATAGAAAACATAAATTTTCTAGCAATCAATTTATAAATAATCAAAACAAAAAATTTTACACCCATTGTGGAATAAATGGTCA